CAGCATCACAGAGAGAGACAAGAAGAAGCTGGACAAGGTCATCAGGAAGTCCAGCTCAGTCCTGGGCTGTTCCCTGGACACAGTGCAGCAGGTGGGGGACAGGAGGGTCCTGAGCAAACTAACATCTATGCTGGACCATGACTGTCACCCCAGACTCATTCATCCTTGATGTGTGAAGGAGAGGTTCCGCAGGTCTTTCCTTCCTGCTGCTGTCAGACTGTACAACAAACAATAAGGACTAATGAACACTGCCAACATGATCCCACGTGTCATACAGATACTAATGTACAGATGTAAATAGGGCTGGGCGATAAAACGATAACGATATAAATCGCGATAGACATGTGTTCGATATCAATAGAGAATGGGGTCGATAGAATGTTCGATAGTTTAACTTAACTCCGTCAGGAAAAACAGGAAGAAAACACCGGAAGTAAAGCCGACTCATATGCGCATGGCATTGTGGGGGATGTAGGCAGAGGCTTCTCGACCAATAACAGCCGAGCAGGAACCGCAAAACTTTCTGGGAAATGCAAAAACACCAACAACCGCAGCATGCGTAGCGTCCATGGATCTATAGCTCGTGTTTCAATGCCGTGTCAATGGTTGTGCACGTACGTGCGCGGAATAACATGTGCGGCGGCAGAGGCAGTGGACAGACACCATGTATTCGGCGAAAGCAAGAGATTAACTTTTTCCTCGGGAAGCATGTGCGGCACAGAGAGCCGCACGGAGCGGTCACGGGGACACAAGACCCTCAAACAGCTAAACCAGGAGCTAAACCAGGAATAAAAAACCAGGATTAAACCAGGACTAACAACGAGGGACACAGTGTGAACATATTCCTCCAGCCTCATCGCCCCGTGACTGTAAACAAGGCTGCTAAGGTTGGTTAGCCCACACCACAAATATATTTATTTAGGTAAAAAAAAAAACTCAATATATATCGTTATCGACCGATATGAATGACTTATATCGTGATATAGTTTTCAGCCATATCGCCCAGCCCTAGATGTAAACATGCTGATGCTAATGTACAGATGTAAACATACTGCTGCTAATGTACAGATGTAAACATATTGCTGCAAATGTACATATGTAAACATACTGATGCTAACATGTACAGATGCTAACATATAGCTACACTTTGCTTGCACTAGAATACACAGTACTTTACACTTGCCTCTTATTTTGCCAAATGTTAAGCTTTTACACTTCTTTTATTATTATTTTCAAGATAGAGATTTTATACTCGTTGATGCTAGAGTTAGAGATTTTGTTTTATTTTGATTAGTATAGCTATTGTTCACTTATCTTGTGCCGTGGGCTCCTTAATCTCAAGACTTTGGCTCTCCTTGAGATTTGTTCATTTACTGGGTTGAAATTCATCAACAGTGGCGAAGCAATCGGGTTGCAAACAATCCGTGCTTTTCGACTCAAGAACTCTGTAAAACATGCTAGCTTTGGATAGTCACCAGTTTGGTCAAGTTCATCTACAACAATCCGACTCCACTAGCACACAATCCATTCTGGCAGTTTTTTGAGCAATTTGTGATTTTCCGCACAATCGTTTAAGAATCAAGTCCTTTGACATGTGGGATGGCCTCAGAGCATCCTTTGAGGAAATCGGAAAACTCTCGTAGCGCTAGTGGGTCATTTGTGTTGGTCTTTGGCCATCTTGTGAGTTTATCTCGAAATGCTTTCTGTATAATGAATGGGTTCCCATATCTGTTTACTAGGACTAATACCAGGACTTCTAAAGCTTTGTGTGCTTCTCCTTTGAGATAATCTTTGAGATAAAATATCTTCTCGCTTGCTAGAAGGGGTTTTCGGTCAATTCGAGTGATGAATGACAATTTCCAATCAGACAGTAACAGATCACCTCTGAATTGGTTCGGGGACTGGCAATCGATTCATACTTAATGAGTCAGCGATTGCTTGTGCTAAGCTGACAGAATCTTGGGACATCCGAAATTGCTGGGTGAGGTTTGAATGATACAGCATTTTAGATTTAGATGAGGTTCAGTTCATTGTCTGTACCAAGAAGAGTTAGCTTTGTTCTGTTGTTCTGTCGCTATAGCAACTTCCTTGTCTGCTTGTAACTGCGGTAGTTTTGCCTTTTCTTGTTCTAAGCCTTGTTGCATTTCCACTTCCTTTTGTTTAATTGCAATTCAAGCGCACTTGCTGCGCTTGAATTGCAACAAGCCTTCAGTTTCCGTTGCACTGGAGCCAAAGACAGAACCATATTTGTTTTTGCTTAACATTTCTCTGACTCTTTCTTTCTCAAGTTGGTTATTATATTCTTCACCAACAGTGTCCAGACGATTACTTATGAGGTTGCCAATTTCTTTCGTTAGTGTGACATAGGCGTCCAGGTTTTCTACTGAGCAGAGCGGTTTTGTTCTAGTTTCCCGTGCTACTAGCTTCCATGAATCATATGCTTTGTTGAATGCTTTTTTACGTTTTTCAATATCCTGGGTTTGCATACGCTTTTCTCTGTTTTCTCTGATTTGAGTGGTGCTTTTGTCTGTTTCGTCTTTTTGTGAGTTGAATTCACATGGTGCGCTTGTGGGGTTGTCTGTTTTCTCTTCTAGAAGGGACATTTTGTGACTGTTTAAGTTTACGTTAGCTTGGATTGTATGCTTGACTTTATACTTTTAAGCTGTAGTTAATCTTTACCATAGAGTAACGCTGTATCAACCATTTACATAATTGACATTTATAGATATGCTTGGCATAAAACATAAAACAAATGTTTCCCAATAATCTCTGTAGACAACAGTTGGGTAGCTTCACCATTAAAAACTTTTCAGAAACAAACATGACAGGAATGAATTTGACTGCATATTATTATCTTTTAAGGCTTTTAAGTAATGCAGTTTACGTGCAGTGGTAAGTCTCATGTAGCTTCTTAGTGCTCAATGTCTCTTTCCTTTAGGGTCATGTGCTTTATTGGGCTGCTCTCTCTGAAAGTGCAGTCTGTGGATGTGAGTGGAGTCAGCAGGCTGGCAACAGGTCGACAGCTGAATCTCTTATGAAATGGCGTTGGATTCTCTGTGGGGATGGCAGGTCTCTTGCAGTCATGGAGTTTTCTCTGTAGCGTCCCGCTTGGAATCACCACACAAGAACGCAGAGAGCTCGACTGGTGCAGCGTTTATTCTCTCCTCTTTCAAAACTCTTTCTGCTTCCAAGGGCGCTAATCTGGAACAACCTGCTAGCAGCCTCTTCCATGTGCTCTCATTTACAATCAAAACGTGACTGTGATTCTGAGAGCTGAGCGGGAGCAGAGTGGGAGCAACTCAAGGAAGTCACTAGGAAGAGACTACGACTCTTCAAAATAAAAGCGCAAAAATAAAATTGCCTTGCTGGCATTTACACCCTCAACCCCCATTGGATGGCGAGCAACCTGAACAGAACTGAACTCACCTGGTAACACCCACCGCACCGCAGGAACAATCTTTTTGTGATTTAATTGGGCTATGCCCAATTCTTTTCATTTTCATGAGTTCATAAAAATGCTTATTACTACATACAAGTTTTATTAAAATCCATAATTTAATTGAAAATGTGAGCTCATTGATTCAGCTGTGTATGAATTCAGGCTGTAAAAAGTGCTGAGTACAGACTTAGCGTGACGCTACCTCTCCTGCAATCACAGAACGCGGAGCAGCGCTGTTACAAACAGGCCACGCCTCCTCTACGCCACGCCTCCTCTAACGTCTGCAGTGAAGGTAAACACAGCAGCATGTTAGCAGAAAGTCTGTAACTGCAGACACAGCTAAACAGCCCAAACCATGCAACAGTGAGGAAGAGAAGAGGGAACTAAAGTGAAAAAATGATCAAAGAAGAAAATAAAGCCCGCGGGACCGCCTCGGACTAGATTCAGACGTGAAACTAGCGGTAATCTTTCAGTTATATATTTTGTTAGCAGTGCGTTGCTTTTGTACCATTTCATCGGTGATTGTTGTACAGCTTACAAGAAGTAATCACTAATAATACAGCTCCACCACCACTGAAGAACTTTGTCAGACTTTGTTCTGAGCAAAATACGAGAGCCACTCGGTCCACTGCAAATAAAAACTGTGTAATCCCAAAAAGATCCTCGGCCTTTGCACAATGTGCCTTCTCATTTCGCTCCATTAAACAGTGGAATGAGCTTCCAGACTGTCTGAAACTGTCTGTAGATCATAATAGTTTTACTCGAAATCTGAAAAAGTATATTTTAGATCATCAATCGTGTCAGCATTGATGAATGTATTGTAAACTGTAGGGATTGTTTATATGTTTTTTTAGAAGTGTACAGAAAACTAATGTATTTTATATAGTGATTTTATTGTAGATTAGATTTATAGATTGTAATGATTTTTGTACTCACCTGTCCAGGGACTGCAGATGGAAAATAGCTACTTTGCTAAATCTGGTACAAATCATCTCTTCTTTTGTAAAGACTAATGGTTTTGTACACTGTCCCTGTTTCAATAAACAATAAAAGAAAAGAAAGAAGAAAAAAAAGTTGCGCTAATGCTAATGTTAGCATACATATCAGATCGCAAATAAAACTAGATGGCTCCGTGGGAGGAGAGCGTAGGGGAAATGAGAAGCCTGTGAGCGAGTTGGAGGCGGAGCATTCAAACTGAAAAAAACTTTGAAGAAACGGCTATAGCTCCTTTAATACCCGGATCATTGGACGACAAATATATACTTGGATTACAATTACAATACTCTTGGAACTATTACCATTACCTCATCGTGAACTCTTTTTGAACTTTTTGAACATTTATTTTTTTTCCTATTTAAAGGACACTTTTGTTATGATATATACCTGCTTATTATACCTATATAACGATTATATGTTTTTATATAATTATGATTATACTACTGAACTTTTCTATGGCTACATTAACATTTGAACTCAATACAATATTCGGAATGTAATCGTGATTGTCTGAGTTTCATTCACACTTCCTGTCGTCCCTTCTTCTGTTACCCCTAATACCTACCTCTCAATCTTTGCTCTGCTCTCTGTCCTGAAGTTCCATGGTTCTCCCATCGACCGGTCACTTGTGAAGTTCCATGGTTCTCCCATCGACCGGTCACTTGTGAAGTTCCATGGTTCTCCCATAGACCGGTCACTCCTGAAGTTCCATGGTTCTCCCATCGACCGGTCACTCCTGAGGGACTCACATCTGGGACCAGGTCCAGACTGAAGTTTGTGGAGGATCCTGAGACACAGAAGAAGAGAGCTTCAGTGTTGGAGAGGCCTTCACCACAGGCTGCGTCACGTCCACAAACACACAGATATCATCTACACCTGGTATTTACACCTGGTATCTACACCTGGTATGAGCTCTGTCCATGTCCTCAGGACACTGTGTCTATGAGCTGCTGATACAAGGAGTGGGACTTACCAAGGACCAGCTCCTCTTTATCATGGTTTAGTCCTGGTTTAGTCCTGGTTTAGTCCCTGGTTTAGTCCCTGGTTTAGTCCTGGTTTAGCCCTGGTTTAATCCTGGTTTAGTTCTGCTTTAGTCCTGATTTAGAACCTGGTTTAGTCCTGGTTGAGTCCTGGTTTAATCCTGGATTAATCCAGGTTTAGTCCTGGTTTAGTCCTGGTTGAGCCCCAGACATTTAGCTTCTGCAGTTCCATCAATAGAAGCCGCTTCTATAGGATCTTTGAGTGACGTCGCTGTTTACACATGGTACTTACTTTCTGGTCACTAACACAGACACATCAACATGTCATACATGGTACTTACTTTCTGGTCAGAAATGGTTGCGCTCAGAACTAGGGATGTAAAAAACTGTGAATTGAAATATTCCACGTTCTTTGAAATAACATATTTTTTGAGGCGCGCACTTTCCATAAGTGCAGCTGAGCGTTTGGATGTTACGTATCAATGGAGGGGGGGAAATGTGTGTGTGTGTGTGTGTGTGTGTGTGTGTGTGTGTGTGTGTGTGTGTGTGTGTGTGTGTGTGTGTGTGTGTGTGTGTGTGTGTGTGTGTGTGTGTGTGTGTGTGTGTGTGTGTGTGTGTGTGGGTGTGTGTGTGTGTGTGTGTGTGTGTGTGTGTGTGTGTGGTCACCTGACTGGTGATTTGTACTGACACAGTAGCCCAATGTATGTATTGGTCCTGTCTCCTCACAGCAACCCGCCTCGGAAATACTCCCCAGAGATGTTGGTGATGCTGAGCAGGTAAGTCTGAGTGTCGAATGAATTGCTTGGTCCTCTTAAACCTTGTAGGGCTTTTGGGTCTTTGGCACTAGTCTTCAGTGTTGATAAAAATGGTCCCAGTGACCCAAACACCCTACAAGGGCTACACTGGGAATTAAAACTGTTCAGTGAGTCTCAGATTTCATTCTTAGTTCTACTAGTTCAGTGAATTTTCTCCTGATTGTTCTGGTCTACATTGTTTTTTTTTCCCAACTGTCCTGTATTTTAGTGCTTGGAGAGAGGGCACTCTTCCATATCTGTGAGCCAGAGTGAGCAGAGTCTGGAATTTGAGCCCCAGTGCAGTTCTGTAGAGGTGAGTTTGTAGTATTGAGATTGTTTATGATAGTTTGCTAACTTCAATCCGTGTGTGTGTGATATCACCTGCGTACATGGTGGCTTGTACTGACACAGTAGCCCAATGTATGTATTGGTTTGAAAGTCACGCTTCCTCTGATGTTTACTTCTTGTCTCCTCACAGCAACCTGCCTCAGAAATACTCCCCAAAGATGCTGGTGATGCTGAGCAGGTAAGTCTGAGTGTTGAATGAAATGCTTGGTTGTTCATATTTGTTGTCACTTTAATTTCTCAAGTGTTTTTTTTTTTCCCTGTCAGTGTCCTAAACACCGTTTGGTGTGTGGCGATATGTCTGCTTTTGACAAATGCAGTCACTGCCTGGGACCTTTCGCCTCTTTGAGATGGATGGGGTTCAAATGCAAAGGTAAAATGTATATATTGAGTGCACAGCCTATGGAAAGTCCTTATCTTGACTGAGTAGATTGGGTCCGAATCCCAAAAGACACATGATGCAAATGGCCACAGGTCACACTTAAACTCAGACCACCTGTGTTACCATGGATACGCGACGCTCCACTCTGTAGTGTGGCTGCTTGGCGCGGTGACAAAAAAAGCATATGTGAAACCGAAAAATTAAATGTTGTGTACTGTTCACTTTGGCGGCTGTGCCTGGCTGGACCTAAATCTGTAAAATCATTCTTAAACAGACTTGGACTTGAGACCAAACTGATCTAAATCTGTTTCAGATTGTCCAGGACTCTGGATTCTAACCTGCTACAGACAGATGATGGGTCAAGACTCATCAGACCTCATTGATTCTATGAGCTCTGGAAGCGAGTATGTGCCGGACTCTGAGTCCGGGGATTCCGATTCTGAGTCAAGTATACCCTTGGTGCCTCAACAGTCAAAAATGCATTCAAGTCGAATAATACAAGAGTTACCCAGTGAGAACACATCCTCCGTGTTGGGCACAAGTATTCCAGATGAAGCTGGTACATCAAAATGTTTGCAGCCTCTTGCTGATGACATAGATGATGCTGCTGTTAAACCAGACTCGACTGCTGGACATATGGATGTTGGTGCTGATGAAACATCAGATTCAGCAGCTTCTAAACAATACTCTTCAAATGGGCAACTTAAGAGCAAACGCAGGTGTACCTCCACGCGTTCCAGCTTGACCATTCGGAACTACTGTTTCATTTGTGGTAAGCCACAAAGTAGACTGACTCGACACCTAAAAACTCACATGTCACACCCAGAAGTATCCTATGCCTTTTATCTCCCAGAGAAGTCAAAGGAACGCAAATTGTTGTTTGAAAAAATGCGAAATAAGGGGAATTTTAAACATAACACTGCCATTCTTCAAGGTGAAACGGGTCAATTGAAAATGAAGAGAAGGCCAAAAGCTGCTGCTGTGGCTGGAACTTTGGTGCACTGTATGCACTGTCTTGGTTTATATGTCCGTAAAGATCTATGGAGACATGTGCCATAAAAACCTTTTATTTGGATTGTGCAGTATTGTTTATATGGTTTCAACAGGTATATTTTATAACCAGCTGGCTGCTGTTGAACACAGCCATGTTTTGTTTGTTGGAAGTCTATACTAAGAGATCAAAGTGACACACCACCACCATGTGTGAGTTAAACAATTTAAGTTTTTCCTTTCCCCTGTTCATCCAGCCGTTCTGAGTCTGGCGACCCCCTTGTGGCTTCAGTTTAGCATGAATCATTGAATCTGATTGGACAGTTAGATCCTAATGCTAATTGCGATTGTTCTAATCTGGTTCAATGATTCTTGCAAAACTAAAGCCATAATTGTGGTCACACAGCTGGTAGAGAAGATAAAGAAGCAGATAACTCTGTTTACCTAGGGAGGTGGAGACTGGGCATACTGTATATTCCCAAATGGTGCTGTTTTTATTTAGAGCTGATGTTCTAAATAAAAGGATACTTTTGTTTATCGTTCACGGTCTGTGTTTGTTTCTTAGGCACTGAAGTCAATGTTGAAGCACTATTTCAATTCTCTTTAGTATTTTTGTATGACAAATGCAAAAGACTTCAGTGGATTATGATTTACAACCTCTGAATGATATGGTTTGGTTGTGTCCCCCAGATGCATGGTGGTGTCTGGCAGTGTAATACCTAGTTGTGTATTTATGTTAATTTGGGGTGTGGGGGGCGTGGCTTCCTTGTCCCTTTAAAGTCTTCATAAACCTGTCGTGTCAACAGAAACCACAATTCAAAAGTCACCACAAACCATCATCTAGTCAGGTCTGATATCTCAGGCTCTGTAGCTTCTTTAGGAAAGCTAAAGTGTGCTAAATTGTTTTCAATTTTTTTTCATTGGTTTAGCCTTAGTTCTATTCCTCTAGGGTCAAGGAAAAGTTGTGTCAGTGTAATGCACCAACATACCTGTTTCAGGATTTTGTCGGTCTAAATCACATAAACCAGTATGTGTGTGTGTGTGTGTGTGTGTGTGTGTGTGTGTGTGCGCATCGGGATGTTTATCTTATAATAGGGTGGTTTGTCTGTGGGGCGGTGGGGTTTATTGGGCATGTTGTATTGATTTTGACTAAGCTGTAAAGCACTTTGTGGTGCATTTGATTGTATTAAAAAAAAGCGCTTTATAAATAAAGTTTGATTGATTGCTTGATTAAACGGTCACCGATTTACATCCCTACTCAGAAAAAAGCCTGGAAGCCGGGTTAAAGGTTTATAGGAGGATTTTCCCACATTATAGGAAAAAACTGCCCTCTCCACTCTTTGGTCTTATTGGAAGAGCACGGTTCACCAGAATGATTGACAGTTAGGAGGACCAATAGTCTTGATGATGCACCAGGAAGTAAACTATTCTGCTATTGACCAGATGCATCAACGTCATCCAGTCACGTGATTGTGAATGAGCTTACGGCGGAAGTATTGGAAACTAGCATTAGCATTAGCATTGCTGCGAGAGCAAAACAGACACAACTCTTAAAAACGGAGCTTCCTCTCCTAAATCGAGAAGTGGCTGCTTCAAGCACATGTTCGATTACGTTATAGGTGGAAGTAGGACATCAGGTCAGGGCTCACAAAGAGTGGTATTTGGAGAAGTTAAGGATCACCTAACTGGATGTTGACCCGTACCTTCTCCCCCCAGTCAATTTTATCAATTAAATAAAATGTCTATTTTTGCCCGAGTTCACCCTACATGATCTTTATCATTATCGTTAACAATGCATCCCCTCACACTGGAGCAGATTTATATTTACATTTTGCTGGTAGCATTAGCAATAGTCCACTTTTCTGTGGCTTTTCTGTCTACAGCCAAACATGATACGTACTGATGGAGAGGAAAATAGTGAAATTGACTTAAAAGATAAAAATGTCAATGTTGCAGCGCACATACAGGACAGTAGTAAGAGACACGTTTGACGTGTGTCATTGTCCTCCAAATTTATGGAAATAAAATAAATACAAACTTGTGATTGCTTTATCTTGTATAAAGTGTTCACTGCATATTAGGGAGCACTTGGATGGGTCCCAGTCCTTTTGGTTGATTGCCGCCATCGTCGTCTTCTGTCTTCATGACGAGCAGGTATCAGATAAAAAAGCTTATGTCCTTGCCTGTTAGTATAATCAACCGCACTGCAAAATGTCACAGTTTTGGCTGTAATGCGCTGAAACAGGTTGTTTTGGTCAGGTGTCCGTAGGCTCACAGTTAGACTTCTGCCGTCTGTCATGGAGAGTGGGCGTGGCCGGGACGTCACATGCAAGGGGTCAATAACCTTTAAGTTGTATTTCCTGAGTATGAGTTATTTCCAGAAGATTATATATAGATATATAGATATATATTGTATATATTAAACATCAAACTATAAACAGTCATTGTTGTCTGTGTCTTAGTCAGGTTTCCCAAACAGATTCACAGCAGATACAGTGCCTTGCGAAAGTATTCGGCCCCCTTGAACCTTTCAACATTTCGCCACATTTCAGGCTTCAAACATAAAGATATAAAAATTACATTTTTTGTCAAGAATCAACAACAAATGGGACACAATCGTGAAGTGGAACTAAATTTATTGGATAATTTAAACTTTTTTTACAAATAAAAAACTGAAAAGTGGGGCGTGCAATATTATTCGGCCCCCTTGCGCTAATACTTTGTAGCGCCACCTTTTGCTGCAATTACAGCTGCAAGTCGTTTGGGGTATGTCTCTATCAGTTTTGCCCATCGAGAGACTGGAATTCTTGCCCATTCTTCCTTGCAAAACAGCTGGAGCTCAGTGAGGTTGGATGGAGAGCGTTTGTGAACAGCAGTCTTCAGCTCTTTCCACAGATTCTCGATTGGATTCAGGTCTGGACTTTGACTTGGCCATTCTAACACCTGGATACGTCTATTTGTGAACCATTCCATTGTAGATTTGGCTTTATGTTTTGGATCATTGTCCTGTTGGAAGATAAATCTCCGTCCCAGTCTCAGGTCTTTTGCAGACTCCAACAGGTTTTCTTCCAGAATGGTCCTGTTATTTGGCTCCATCCATCTTCCCATCAATTTTAGCCATCTTCCCTGTCCCTACTGAAGAAAAGCAGGCCCAAAGCATGATGCTGCCACCACCATGTTTGACAGTGGGGATGGTGTGTTCAGGGTGATGAGCTGTGTTGCTTTTACGCCAAACATATCGTTTTGCATTGTGGCCAAAAAGTTCGATTTTGGTTTCATCTGACCAGAGCACCGTCTTCCACATGTTTCGTGTGTCTCCCAGGTGGCTTGTGGCAAACTTTAAACAAGACTTTTTATGGATATCTTTGAGAAATGGCTTTCTTCTTGCAACTCTTCCATAAAGGCCAGATTTGTGCAGTGCACGACTGATTGTTGTCCTATAGACAGACTCTCCCACCTCAGCTGTAGTTATCTGCAGTTCATCCAGCGTGATCATGGGCCTCTTGGCTGCATCTCTGATCAGTCTTCTCCTTGTTTGAGATGAAAGTTTGTAGATTTGCAGTGGTCTGATACTCCTTCCATTTCAATATAATTGTTTGCACAGTGCTCCTTGAGATGTTTAAAGCTTGGGAAATCTTTTTGTATCCAAATCCGGCTTTAAACTTCTCCACAACAGTATCTCGGACCTGCCTGGTGTGTTCCTTTGTCTTCATGGTTCTCTCTGCGCTTTAAACAGAACCCTGAGACTATCAAAGAGCAGGTGCATTTATACGGAGACTTGATCACACACGGGTGCATTCTATTTATCATCATCAGTCATTTAGGACAACATTGGATCATTCAAAGATTCTCACTGAACTTCTGGACTGAGTTTGCTGCACTGAAAGTAAGGGGGCCGAATAATATTGCACGCCCCACTTTTAATTTTTTTATTTGTTAAAAAAGTTTAAATCATCCAATAAATTTCGTTCCACTTGTTGTTGATTCATGACAAAAAATAAAAAATTTATATCTTTATGTTTGGAGCCTGAAATGTGGCAAAATGTTGAAAGGTTCAAGGGGGCCGAATACTTTCGCAAGGCACTGTATATTCCTCAAATCAAAATGAGCTGTGGATCTGAAAACTAAAAAATCAGTTCAACGATACAGAGGAACAACAGGAGATGACCGCCCAGGCCCTGACCTGCTTAGCCTCAGACACACATGAATCACAGTCAGACTTACCCATGATCTTCCTCCTTTTTAAAGTCAATCCATCGATGATTGGAGCTCAGTGACGCCGCCCTGCTGGTGGTGGGAGGACAGTGCTCTCTCTGGTCCATGCTCAGTCTCTCTGTCGCCGCCCTGCTGGTGGTGTGTGGGAGTCTCTCTGTCGCCGCCCTGCTGGTGGTGGGAGGACTGTGGTCAGTCCAGACTCCTACACAATAAAACAGTGTTTGACTCCGCCCACTGTTCCCAGCTAAACTCAACATTACACTCTCTCTGGTCTCACTCTCTGGTCTCTCTCTGGTCTCCCTCTGGTCTCTCTGGTCTCTCTCTAGTCTCCCTCTGGGCTCCCTCTGGTCTCTCTCTAGTCTCCCTCTGGTCTCTCTCTGGTCTCTGTTTAGATTGTAATAATAATAATACACTGGTTTTATACAGCGCTTTTCAGGATGCTCAAAGTCTCTTCATGTCATTATTCATTCACTCCAAACACAGTGGTGATAAACTACAACTTTAGCCACAGCTGCCCTGGGGCACAATGACAACCAGTCTCTGCCATTGGCCCCTCTGATCACCAGCAACCATTCACACACACCAGACTCATTCTAATGTGGGGAAAGTGTCTTGCCTAATGACACAACCACAATTATGCAACCAGAGCAAACCAAACCTAAGGAGGCGGGGCAGGTGGCAGGATGGGAGCAGGATGAGCAACAAGAATGTCTGGCATGTGCACGAGCTTTAAAGGTGCAGCTCTGTCTGTGACGCACCAATGAGCGCCGCTCCCACCGGAGAGGAAGGCTCTACGGCCTGTTAGCGACCGTAAGACCAGTCTCTGACTCTGGTCCCAGTCTCTGACTCTGGTCCCAGTCTCTGACTCTGGTCCCAGTCTCTGGCTCTGGTCCCAGTCTCTGGCTCTGGTCCCAGTCTCTGACTCTGGTCCCAGTCTCTGGCTCTGGTCCCAGTCTCTGACTCTGGTCCCAGTCTCTGACTCTGGTCCCAGTCTCTGGCTCTGGTCCCAGTCTCTGGCTCTGGTCCCAGTCTCTGGCTCTGGTCCCAGTCTCTGACTCTGGTCCCAGTCTCTGGCTCTGGTCCCAGTCTCTGGCTCTGGTCCCAGTCTCTGACTCTGGTCCCAGTCTCTGGCTCTGGTCCCAGGCTCTGACTCTGGTCCCAGTCTCTGGCTCTGGTCCCAGTCTCTGGCTCTGGTCCCAGTCTCTGGCTCTGGTCCCAGTCTCTGACTCTGGTCCCAGTCTCTGGCTCTGGTCCCAGTCTCTGACTCTGGTCCCAGTCTCTGGCTCTGGTCCCAGTCTCTGGCTCTGGTCCCAGTCTCTGACTCTGGTCCCAGTCTCTGACTCTGGTCCCAGTCTCTGACTCTGGTCCCAGTCTCTGGCTCTGGTCCCAGTCTCTGGCTCTGGTCCCAGTCTCTGGCTCTGGTCCCAGTCTCTGACTCTGGTCCCAGTCTCTGGCTCTGGTCCCAGTCTCTGACTCTGGTCCCAGTCTCTGGCTCTGGTCCCAGGCTCTGACTCTGGTCCCAGTCTCTGGCTCTGGTCCCAGTCTCTGGCTCTGGTCCCAGTCTCTGGCTCTGGTCCCAGTCTCTGACTCTGGTCCCAGTCTCTGACTCTGGTCCCAGTCTCTGGCTCTGGTCCCAGTCTCTGACTCTGGTCCCAGTTTCTGGCTCTGGTCCCAGTCTCTGACTCTGGTCCCAGTCTCTGGCTCTGGTCCCAGTCTCTGACTCTGGTCCCAGTCTCTGACTCTGGTCCCAGTCTCTGACTCTGGTCCCAGTCTCTGGCTCTGGTCTCAGTCTCTGGCTCTGGTCCCAGTCTCTGACTCTGGTCCCAGTCTCTGACTCTGGTCCCAGTCTCTGACTCTGGTCCCAGGTCTCTGGCGCTGGTCCCAGTCTCTGGCGCTGGTCCCAGTCTCTGGCGCTGGTCCCAGTCTCTGACTCTGGTCCCAGTCTCTGACTCTGGTCCCAGCTCTCTGGCGCTGGTCCCAGTCTCTGGCTCTGGTCCCAGTCTCTGGCGCTGGTCCTAGTCTCTGGCTCTGGTCCCAGCCTCTGGCTCTGGTCCCAGTCTCTGACTCTGGTCCCAGTCTCTGGCTCTGGTCCCAGTCTCTGATTCTGGTCCCAGAGAGAGACCAGAAAGACCAGAGAAAATAAAATGTGGCCGCATGATTACATGCAAGTACAGTTTGTGGCCTCACCTGTATGTGAAAGCCAGATCATCAGACCTCTGAAGCGAATCAGGGGAAGGCCTGGTTAGTACTGTGATGGGAGACCTCTGGAAACACCAAGTGCTATTGTGGTTGTGTCCTTAGGCAAGACACTTCCCCCACATTAGAATGAGTCTGGTGTGTGTGAATGGTTGCTGGTGATCAGAGGGGCCAATGGCAGAGACTGGTTGTCATTGTGCCCCAGGGCAGCTGTGGCTAAAGTTGTAGTTTATCACCACTGTGTTTGGAGTGAATGAATAATGACATGAAGAGACTTTGAGCATCCTGAAAAGCACTGTATAAAATCAGTGTATTATTATTATTAAAATCTAAAGAGAGACCAGAGACAGACCAGAGGGAGACCAGAGGGAGACCAGAGGGAGACCAGAGAGAGACCAGAGAGAGAGACCAGAGAGAGAACAGAGAGAGAGAACAGAGAGAGAACAGAGAGAGAGAACAGAGAGAGACCAGAGAAATTATATACAAAACAATTATTACATTACATCACATTGACACGTCACACATGGTACTTACTTTCTGGTCACTAACACAGACTTCATTGTAAGTTCACAATATACAAAGTCTATGGGCATTGTGTTGTTGGCAACAACTGTAAAAGTTGTTTCAGACTTCTAAGTTTCATAGTTTTTATGCAGTTTCTCTGTTTCATCAAGTTGTGCCATTCGGAACCTAATTGTGCCATAATACTTTACTGACATTTCATGTCTATCTCTAGTCTCTATTTCTGGTCTCTCTGGTCCCTCTCTAGTCTCTCTCTCGTCTCTGTCTTGTCTCTTTCTGGTCTTTCTCTCGGGTCTCACTCTCTCGTCTCTTTCTGGTCTCTCTCTCTGGTCTCTCTCTGGTCTCTCTCTGGTCTCTCTCTCTGGTCTCTCTCTGGTCTCTCTCTCTGGTCTCTCTCTGGTCTCTCTCTCTGGTCTCTCTCTGGTCTCTCTCTCTGGTCTCTCTCTGGTCTCTCTCTCTCTGGTCTCTCTCTCTCTGGTCTCTCTCTGGTCTCTCTCTTTTCAGATACAGATCATTATCTTCCACAATCCACAAACAGCTCTGTCTGCACTAACCCAGACATCCAAGAACACAACAACACGTCACACATGGTACTCACTTTCTGGTCACTAACACAGACAGATGGTACTCACTTTCTGGTCACTAACACAGAGACAACAACACGTCACACATGGTACTTACTTTCTGGTCACTAACACAGAGACAACAACACGTCACACATGGTACTTACTTTCTGGTCACCAACACAGAGACAACAACACGTCACACATGGTACTTACTCTCTGGTCACTAACACAGACACATAGTACTTACTTTCTGGTCACTAACACAGACACATGGTACTTACTTTCTGGTCATTAACACAGACACATGGTACTTACTTTCTGGTAACTAACACAGACACATGGTACTTACTTTCTGGTCACTAACACGGACACATGGTACTTACTTTCTGGTCACTAACACGGACACATAGTACTTACATTCTGGTCACTAACACAGACACATGGTACTTACTTTCTGGTCACTAACACACACACATGGTACTTACTTTCTGGTCACTAACACAGACACATGGTACTTACTTTCTGGTCACTAACACAGACACATGGTACTTACTTTCTGGTCACTAACACAGACACATGGTACTTACTTTCTGGTCACTAACACAGACACATGGTAATTACTTTCTGGTCACTAACACAGACACATGGTACTTACTTTCTGGTCACTAACACAGACACATGGTACTTACTTTCTGGTCACTAACACAGACACATGGTACTTACTTTCTGGTCACTAACACAGACACATGGTACTTACTTTCTGGTCACTAACACAGACACATGGTACTTACTTTCTGGTCACTAACACAGACACATGGTACTTACTTTCTGGTCACTAACACAGACACATGGTTCTTACTTTCTGGTCACTAACACAGACACATGGTACTTACTTTCTGGTCACTAACACAGACACATGGTACTTACTTTCTGGTCACTAACACAGACACATGGTACTTACTTTCTGGTCACTAACACAGACACATGGTACTTACTTTCTGGTCACTAACACAGACACATGGTACTTACTTTCTGGTCACTAACACAGACACATGGTACTTACTTTCTGGTCACTAACACAGACACATGGTACTTACTTTCTGGTCACTAACACAGACACATGGTAGTTACTTTCTGGTCACTAACACAGACACATGGTACTTACTTTCTGGTCACTAAACACAGACACATGGTACTTACTTTCTGGTCACTAACACAGACACATGGTACTTACTTTCTGGTCACTAACACAGACACATGGTAATTACTTTCTGGTCACTAACACAGACACATGGTACTTACTTTCTGGTAACTAACACAGACACATGGTACTTACTTTCTGGTCACTAACACGGACACATGGTACTTACTTTCTGGTCACTAACACGGACACATAGTACTTACATTCTGGTCACTAACACAGACACATGGTACTTACTTTCTGGTCACTAACACACACACATGGTACTTACTTTCTGGTCACTAACACAGACACATGGTACTTACTTTCTGGTCACTAACACAGACAGACTGATCCTTATTGTTCCTGAAGAAGTCTCTGTCGTGTTGCTCTGAAACACACAAGACCAAGGAGGAAGTCGTCACAACCGACTCAACTGGTTTGGCAGATTGGTCATACCCAAATGTTTTTGCTTATTTAAAAACAAATCTTACTTGTCACATGCTTGTATGATGCATCATTTTAAAGCTAGAGCCTTTTACTTTATGT